TTTTCTGTCTATATTTCTGAGATGAGGTATTATGTATACTATTTACATTATTCGGACTATTGTCCTCATCTTTGTCACCATATTTATTAAATTTCAGCCATTGTACACACCAGCCTTCTTCAGGTGGTTGGAATGTCAAACTAGTTCTACGTGCCATGTTTAATGGAACTAGAACATTCTACCCCAGTGAGCGAAATAAAGGGCTCAGTTCGACATTCCAACCACCTGAAGAATGCTGGAGCATACATCGGCTGAAATGTTGTAATAAATGTGGCCACAAAGATGAGCACAATAGTCTGAATAATGTAAATAGTGTAATTTTAGTTTAATTTGTTTATCTTTGTAGTTGAATAAATTGATGTTTGTTTTGTGTTTCTGACTTCATTAAAATTAAAAATATCATGCTTGTAGAAGATATTAAATTTGCTCTCTTTATCAAATTTGTTATGATGACTAGTTTGTATTTGTGGACATTCACTGTTGTAGCTGATGAAGCAAGGATTTAATTTGACAGTATTTTGTTTTTTAAAGAGATGGGGCAGGGTTTAATGTTTGAATTGTTTAAATAAGTACGTGCATATTTCTTATACATTTTTATGTCAGAATTTTTTTCGATGTGGGATTATCATAACTAAATATGCGTGAACATTCCAATTACTATTTTCATCTTTGTTGTTATAGTAACGATGTTTCGGCTATTGCACCTTCAGTTGCACCTTCAGGTGTTTGTTGTACTCTGTAACCTTGTCAGAATGTTGAACTGAACCCTTTATTCAATCACTCCATTTGTTCTCATTCCTTTTTTTCATAATTAGGGGAGATAACTTTTACCAGTTAATATTCCCTATTCTTTTCTTTTATTTGTTGCTTGTCTGTTTCTTACAGTGAACCTGGATATATGAATTTTTGGTACTATCTGACTCTGGGTTGTCCACCAAACTGCTAGAGAACCAGCTATATGCTTTAACCAACACTTTAATCTGTTAGACTATTTCATTTCTTATAAAGATAAAAGTCAGCCACCGAAGGCAATGATGTCTTCATCCTGTTCAGTTACTCTCCTTGGGACCTTCACTTCTCAAAGTATCATGTATCACTTTTCCCAAACAATCATTTCAGATCATTTGACAACTGACTTGGTGTATTCTTCATCTGTTCGATGTTGTGAAGCATTTCAGCTGCAATTTTAGTTTGGGGAAAAACTAGAAGTCATAAGATGCCAAATCTGAACTGTAGATGAGGGAATAACAGACTTGGATGATGTGGGGTTTTGCCAAAATTTTGCAGACGATATGAACAAATAGACATGTGATCCTTTCTGTGTTCTAAGTAAGATGAGATAGACACATAGGAGAAATATCCTTCGAATAATCAAGTTTCATTGCTGGCTGAAAGACATCACTGCTGATGACCAGGTTACGCTCACCTAGTGTGAGGCATGGTGGCAGTGTAGGGGGTGCTGTTGCTAGTGCCAGCCTGGTCAACTCTACTTTTGTGGGTGAAATCAGTATTGGTTAGATTGTCAGTGGCTTGGGAACAACTGCTGTGAAAAGTGTGTGGGCCCCTTTCTCATTAGTCAGAAAAGATGTTTTATGATCCTGATATTTTGGGATGGTATTCCAGGAATGGGTGTGCAGAACTGGAAGAAATTAAGGTTTGTTTTTGTTATGAGCTGTGAATGTCAAAGTGAGCACTTCCATTTGAGTTAAAGAATTGGAGTTCTGACAGGAGACAATGATATAATCTTCTGTTCTATAGAAGGTATCAGTGCCTGCAACTCATAAAATAAAACATGGCTTGTCACTTAGGCCAATATGGCCAATAAAGAATGTGAAAGATTCCAACTAAAAAAAAGAAACTGACAAAAAATAAGTTCAGATGTTGAATCTTCCTATTATGAGTGAAAATCAACTAAGGATACAGATATTCGAATAACATCACAAGTCACTTTTTAGTCGGTGACCAAAGAATATCAAAGATTCATAATAAACTTAAAACAGCACAGTCGTAATAGAAAAAACTGTATTCAATATAGTTGATGTACAAATCTACGTTGGCTCGGAAGAAAAAAAATCACTAAGAAAAATTTAGTTGCAGAAATTTGAAAGTTAATAGCCTTGGTAATAAACAAATTTGTTTTTTATAAACTACATATGTTGTGTTGGGTTTTAAAAAAAACTTTATATTTAATGAAAACAGGTGAAAAATGTATCCTATATTTTTGTGGCAAACAAATTAATTTCATATTATCTGAGAAAAACAAAAGTTAACTGCTGCATTGGATTTCCCAAATTCTACTGTTCAGTGGCTTGTCTGTAGCAAAATTGGCTGAAAAGCTTTTAAAAAGATATGAATTTCTAAGCAGTATGTTTTAAACAAAAGATGCAAAAAGTGAACAATTGGTGTAATGAGATATATATATATATATATATATATATATGTGTGTGTGTGTGTGTGTGCCACATGGTTTGGAAATAAAAATCAACTGAATACAATTTAATGAATTGTGGCTAATTTGAAATTTAGATTTTTAAAAATGGATTGGGAATAATCACAGATGATAAATAAAGAATTATTTTTCCCCCGAAAAAAATAAATGATCACTCCATCTTGAATAAAATCCTTAGGCTGCTTCATTTTTGACATTGTTTGGTAATTTTCAAAATATAGCTTATATGTGACATTAGGCCAAAAGCATGGAGTGCCCAGCATGGATTGAAGTCACTATGAGTTTTGACATTGTTTGTGTGACATTTCTTGTTAAGTGGAATACTTTGACATAGTAAGACAGTGTTCTAGTCCAGTTCTGATTTTAGGTACATTCAATATCATGCACTTTTGACATGGACAAAAAAAACTTATACCCTTATTTTAAAAGTTTACCAAAAATCGAGAAATTATTTGACTTCATTAATGAATGAACTTTATATTGAATCTTTTCTTCTTCTTCATTCCAGTTTTCTTGAATTTTTTTTTTTCTGGTCAGTTATCCCCCCACTTTATTTAACTTGTAGCTAATCCATACTAGTGAATATTGGATGTTACTAATTAATACATTTTTATAAAACTAAATCCCAAAGGTGTTATATCTTTAAAAAAAATATTTGTTTATTTTTGATTTTGTTGACTACACAGTATAGTAGGGTCAGTTGGGCACCATCTGTGAGAAAAAGAGCACCATGATGCAATTCACTCTGCCAGAAAGTTGGAACTGACATACTATACTGGAAACTCCAATATGAACATTTCAGAGTGTTTGGGTGTCAATCTGAGGACAGTGCAAAGGATTTGGAAATAGTTAGATGAGTCTAATGGTGATTACAAAGGTGTTTGAAGTGATCATGATGTCATGCCTCCATTTATCTTCCCACCGGGTTTCAGACTCAACATGGAGGCCTACATCAAGTGCCTTGAGGAGCTCAAGAGAGTGACTGCTGGAAGACCCTATGTCTGACAACAGGACTCTGCACCATGCCACACAAGCACTAGAACCCAGTTATGGCTGTCAGACAATTTCTATGGCCACATCACCCCTTACATCTAACCACTTTCCAGACTGCAACCCCCTTAATTATTATGTTTGGGGCACATTTGAGCCAGAGATCAACAAAACTCCTTGTAATACCAAAGATGAACTGAAGGCAAGGATTGTGGCAACATTCACCAACTTAAATAAGGAAAGAAGAGTTGCAGGAGATTCTGAAGTTGTCTGGAGGCCATATTTTAAGCTAATGGTGATTTTATTGAATAAATTTACTCTTTGGTATTTCAAGATATTTTTATGTAACTTGGGTAAATATATCTGTTAAAATTGAATGTAAGTGTTATTTTCATTTTTGCATAATTTAAATGACAATTTATCTATCGCACCCTGCACATATTGTACTTTTACTATAAATATGTATTTTGATAATTCTTTTATATAAAAATGTATTGTTGGTATTTTTATGATAAGAAAATATTTTTATACTTTCATAATGTTTTGTTTTGTTTGGGGGTTCACTATTTACCCATAGCTGGGACCCAAACAAGTGCTAGCATACCAACTGGAATTGGAACTCAGCTCTCTGATTAACAACTCTGAACCATTATTCATTACACCAGCCACACATCCAAGCTTATAGCACCTGGTATTCCCAAGAAGTCACCAACATAGGTACTGACCAGGCTCAACTTGGCTTAAGTTTGATCATACGAGAAAGAATTCTATTAGATGAACAGTGGAGAGAAAAAATAATCTCTGGCAGAATTCCAAACTGGATAATTTTGTTAATCCTTTTTAATCACTTTTAACTTGATCTTTATTTTGGGGTGAAAAGTTTAGGGTTTGCAACCAGAATAAGTAAAAAATGAAACTTCAAATATTAGTTGACCTGGTATAACAATTAACTACATCCGACAGCAAGGCCTCTGATCAGGAGGTTTTGAGGAGCATGGGAGCACCTCTTAATTGCTGTTGTTCTCGGGTCCACACTGACCTGGGGTGGTAGCACCTGTTAGGGTCCCAGCTATGGGTAAATGCTTAATCCCCCAAACTGGAGTCAAAACACATCATGAAAGGATAAAAAGAGATTTTTATAGTAAAATTACCAGCAATAAATTTGACCCTCAACAAAAACCCTCCTTACAAAAATATGTCAATGAAACTTGATCTACAAACTGATTTCTTACAGAGAATTGACATTCTATTCATATGAACCTATCCTAAAAATCTTGTCAGCATTAAATAAATAACCAATTGAGGTTTATATGACATAAAACCAAACCAAATCAGCTGAAATAGTTATATTGTCTGTTTCATGGTTGATGAAAAAGAAGGCAAGAGAGATTGCATTGTATAAAAGATTATTTCCTTTTGTCAGGTGGCAAGAATTCACATTTAATTGGAACGCTTTGAGAAGAAAGAAAGTTCTTGTAATTAATAAAATAAACCTTTGTTACTTTTAGTCATCAGCTTTAAACGTAATTATAGTTATTTTATGCTTGTATTATTTTTGCAGGTCGGATTGGGACCCCCCATTACATGGCACCTGAGGTTGTCAACAGAGAGCCTTATGGCAAACCAGTGGATGTGTGGGGGTGTGGAATCATGCTTTTCATTTTACTTGGTGGCTATCCACCTTTCTATGGCACCAAAGACAGACTATTCAAAATGATTACCAAAGGGAAATTCCACGTAAGTGGGTCTTCATATTTTTCTTTTTAGGCGCATTTTGAAAGTTTTCTTTTTCTGAACTTTGTCTATGTCAATGACCTTTTTAAGAAAATGATGGCTTTATATTTTTGTCTGATGGATACCTTTGTTTTCTGAGACTTTGTTCACAGTCAGTCTCCATTCAATTTTGTAAAGAATATTTTTATTTGCTAAAATAAAATCTAGAAACTTAGTAAAAGTTTGAAAGACCAGTATTATCCCTGGTGGATAATATTGGTCTTTTTCAGGTAAATTTGACCCTCAACAAAAACCCACCTTACAAAAATATGTCAATGAAACTTGAAAAATGAAAAATATGTCAATGAAAGTAGGCTCTTAATTTTCAGTCTGAATTCCATCAACCCCAACCATCGCAGATATCCAGATGATGAATCCCTGACCCACACAGAGGTGATACAATCATACAATGAATACCAGGAAATAAATACCTTGATTGTATTATCAGTGATAATGTTTATATTATCAGTGATAATGCCTGTAAATCATTTGAACCAGATGAACCTATGAAACTTTATGAAAATTGTCTTGATTGAAAATAGATTTATTTTTCAATCACACTTATTGAGTTGATCGATTTAATGTTCCTCCATTGTTAAAATACAGTTACCATTATTCAATAACAATATGTAAGTGTCCAGATAGAATTTTAAAAATGGTTAATTTTTACAAATATATCTTACAAATCCTGTTTAGTGGATATTTTTCATAACCCCCAAACTTTACAAATTCTAAATGTGTACGTCCATACTTTGCTAATACTTTCACAAGTCTCCTAATGATACCTGTGTGTAAAGATACTAGCAAAGGATAATATTTTCATTCTACTAATGTTACTATTATTGTTTGATTTCAACCTTTTGTAAGTTGCTTAAACCACAATATTTATGAACTGCAAAAACTTTTCTTTTTTTTTTTTTTTTTTTTTTGTGAGTAAATATTGAATTAGCAATATTTTAGATAATAATACTTTTCAGTTTTAGACACAAGTCCTACTGTTTAACCCATAGCTGGGGTTGCAGAAGAGGTCAGGGGTAACAAACCAGACTGGAATTAGAATTCTGCTCTCTAATTTCTCATTCTGAGCTATAATCCATTACACCACCCACACATTCAACCTTATGGCATCTTGTATTCTCAAGTGGTCACTCATCTAGATACTAACTAGGCTCGACATTGCTTAACTTTGGTGATCAGATTAGAACCGGTGTTTCAACATATGGCCATAAGCCTTACTAGAATGAAAATATGAAAGATTCCTTCTCAAAACAAAGTCCTTCTTTATTTAACAAGTTGTTACTGAAGATTGTCTCTCTTGAGGAACAATTTTGTTATGATATAATTTGATTTTTAACCAAAGGTCATGGTTGGTCATTTTGTAAGGATATCACACACTAATATGTGCATATTACAAAAACAAAAACTTCATATCATGGTTATCAGGGGTCAATAGCACCAGGGTCACCAATATCAGCCATCTATGTGAAATGTCCTGATTATTTTGAAAAAGTCTTTAGACATACTGAAGTCATTTCAACAAATAAATTAGCAACACTTTTCTAATGACAAATATTTAATTGATATTATTACAAACTATCGGCAATTTTATCCTGCTTTAATCAGATAATTGTTGCATCTTTATCCACTGTGCCATGTGTTCTTGAGGACACATGGCACAGTGGATAAAGGCGTTGGTTAGATCCAGTGACAGGACCCAAAGAATTCAATATCCGGTTAAGGCAGTGGAGAACTTGGAGAGGGAAATTAAAAGGAGATAACTGATAACTGACATCCATTAAACATGACACGTGGAACTAGAACAGTCTACCCCAGTGAGCGAAATATAGGGTTCAGGTCGACATTCCAACCACCTGAAGAAGGCTGGAGCATACAGTCACTGAAACATTGTAATAAATATGGCAACAAAGATGAGGACAATAGTCCAAATAATGTAAATAATGTACATAATACCTCATCTTAGAAATATAGACAGATACTCAAGGAGGAGGAATCATGAAATTGTTGAAGAAAGCCCTAAAATAGTGTATATTACTTGTAAGATTGAGGACAATGGTTTTTGTTCAGAATTTTACAGCAGTCAATGGCCAATCAAATGGTTCTGGAAGGAAGAGATTCATATGTTGATGAATAAGGTAATCTATTATATATATTCACTTGGGAATAAGGTGTGTGGAAGAAGGTATTCTGATGTCCTTAGGAGAAATGGCAAAAAGCAGTGTGTTACCATAGTTGGCAGTAATCCATTAAACAAAAAAATAGTCTTATCAATGTTGACCTAGCTGTGTGGAATGTCACTCAGTAGAGAAATGTCCCAGATGTATGGTGAGAGATCTTGTATTAGTATTGATAAATGAGGGGGATAATTATGGATTTGAAATCTGCCTAGCTGCAGCTTTGCGCCTGTGAAACAGTGGAAATATGAGCTGTTTAATTAGGTTGGGATTTGGACTATATTTTGCAGACATCAAACAATTAGCTTAATGAGCCATATAACTTAGCTGGTCATCTGTATTCTGTTGAATAGAGCTTATAACAAAATTAGACCAGAAATAGGAGAGAGTGGTTTCTCCCAAAACATAAAGACAAATTATGCAATTTTCATGATCAGAAGGCTATCAGTGAACAATACAGATGCCTAAAGAAATATACTTATGTTGGAAAGACTACACAAATCATTTGATAAGGTACAACACAAAGATCTATTTGAACTTCTAGGAAAACTTGATTTATTTGTGAAAGGTTGTAAAATAATCCAGAATATATACTGGGAACACATGGCCTGCATATAGAGAGAAAATAAATTTAGCAAAGCACATAAAAATAGAAAGGGATATAAGACAATGTGTTTTCTCACCAGATTTATTCAACTGATACAGCAAGGTAATCCTAAGAAAACTAGAAGTTCTATCAGGATTTATTATTGGTGGACACAGTCTGAACAACATGCGATATACAGCTGACACTGTTGATAGCAGATACAGAAAGAACACTACAGGAACATTGTATGTAAATAAAAGGCATTTTAAGAAGTAAAAACATCAGGCATAAAAAATAACAAATTAACTATACAAAACATTACATTAAAAATTTAAAAATAAATAAAATATAAATTTTTATATATATATATATATATATATATATATATATATGAATTTTTATACATTTAAAGCTATTACCAAACTTCATAACTCATAATATAAGTATAAACAAACATTATTACCAGTAATATATGAATACAAAGCTATTTACAACCTTAATTTAAGAGAAATCACTAAGGATAGCATTAAAATGTTTATATGAATGAATGAGTGTGTGTATGTATGTGTGTGTATATATATATATATATATATATATATATATATATATATATATATATATATATAAGGATTCATGATGAAGTAATGGTTAGTGGCTTGGATTGAGGAATCGGAGAGCTGAGTTTGAATTCCAGTCGAATCCATTAAATTCATTTATGTGCTAATACCCTTGGGAAGGGTATTAATCCTCTTCTTCTCCCTCCAGCTATGGGGAAAATAGGACAGACTGGCTTCTATAACCTTGGATGGTAACTGGTCTAGGAGAAGGACAACTGGGAATTCAAAACCTTCAATGGGTCGTTTGGGGACTTTGTGGAATGTAGTACACTAGGTCTATGTATTCAGCCCTTCAAAAAGTGTGGATGGTTCTGCACAAAACCTTCACTACAATAATCAAATCTTGTGCTGTTGTTGGGCTGTCAGTTCCTAGGAACTGATCTGCTTGACCCTCATACATCAAATTAGACAGGAGAGTTGAGTATATATATATATATATATATATATATATATATATGTGTGTGCATGTATGTGTGTACTTCACTGAATATGACAGACACAGAAAATTTCTTTATTTTTCCAGCACTTTCAATGCTGGAATGTCTAGCAAAAAAAAACCAAAAAAAAAAACCAACAGATTAACCTAAGTTAAAACATAAAAGTGCTCATTGCACTAAGCAGAGCAAAAACTAAATAACCTAATGAGCCAGAACCTATCTACCTAGGTTTCACATGATGGATCATCAGGATAACTCTGGCTAAAGAGCCAATGAAATTTTATTGGAAAAACTGTTGCCAGAAAGAGTAAAAAATTAGCATAAAACCAAAACAGCAACAACAAAACAAATGAGGCTTGGTCCAAACGACATTTTATTGGTAATGCAGCCACCCGAAAAAAATTCCATTACTCAAGTAACCAGGCTTTTTTATGTCTATAACCATTAAGTATTTCCAATCTCTGGTTGAGTAATATATTACAGTTATTACAAGAAACTACAGCTAATTTTCCTCTATACACAGTAGGCAATACCTACTGCCAGCCTTATATTTGCAGCATTTTTTTCTATATCCCATTTTAATATTGGATCTATGTCTAGCTTCTTTTTAATTTCCCAATTATGGTTTAGATAAACTAATCCTATGCCTGTATATTTCATGTGTGAAACTACTTCTATAATTGTAATAACAATTTTTTGAATGGTTCTTGGGTTGAACCCACATAAACTTCTTTTTTTTTTTTTTCATTACAACTATTATTATTATTATTACTATTATTATTATTAGGTTTGTTGCTATACACCTTCACTTTATACACTATGCATGCATTTGTTTTCCTTTGTTTTGTTTTTGTTCTTATGATTAAAAAAAAAAAAACATCATAATCGATAAAGGCTAAAAGAGTAGCCGAAAATGCTCAAATATGCAGCAAATTTGTACAGTTTTTGCATACTTTTATCCAGGAAAGAAAATATTTATAAGAGCACAAGAAAAATAAAATAAAATGCTTAATGGACGTACCTTTAATGAAACTTGTATAAAAGAGGGATTGCTGCAAATACAAATATATATATATATTTATATATATATATATATATATAAAACACTGTTGCATTACACTGAGCACTGTTTTAACACCAGCAATATATGAAATATATATATATATATATATATATATATATATATATATATATTACTTTAAAATATGGTTCCATTGCTACACAGGAATTACCATGTTTCAGAAACTAAAAACTTCAAATTTAATTATATTTTAAGTTTTTAGTTTGTTTTTGAAACATGGTAATTTCTGTGTAGCGATGGAACCATATTTTTAAGCTGGTAAATTTATAATATTTATGCTCTGCAGAATTGTATTGAGCACTGTTTTTTAAAAATAAAAATAATTAATAAGAACACCAGATTATAAATTTTAGTTCTTTCTCTTTATTTTAATATATATATATATATATATATATATATATATATATATATATATAAAAGCACACTCACCACACACACCATATACTGTGAGTTTGTGTTTTAGTGTGTATGGAAAAATAAAATGAGATGGAACTGAACAAAATGTCAATGTCAGATGAACAGATTAACTTATGGGTTCAATTCACCAAAGGGTGAATAAAGATTAATGGCAGCAAAGATAAATAAAATGTGCTTTCAGCATGCTGACTGTGCAAGGATGAACATTACATGTCAACCTCACCCATCCCCCCACGTGCACACAGCGTTTCTTTTTTCTTTCTGTCGCTCTCCCCCCACTTTCCAATTGAAAGGTGCAAATTGATGTATTTATGTCTGTGTTCTAACACCACATTTGTTATTTTTTTTATAACTTTTCTTGGGTGGAATCGTGTCAGATTTGAAAATTCCATTTTCATAAAGATTATCTGATTGTAACTTCATATTGAAACAAAAGAAAAAATCCTAAAAAATAATTTCTACGCCTCAAAACAGATTAAACTACATAAATGTTTTGCATAATTTAAAATTGTCATGATGATAATATTTTTTATGTCTAGCTTAGTTTAAAATTTACAATCATTCTATATGCTTCATACTTTGGTAAGCAAAAAATATACATTAATTTGCTGCTGCTGATGCATTTGTTCAGAATTTGTCATTTTTATAAGATATTTCTTGCTGTTTTTAATCTTTTTCATTAAATTCTTTCTTTCTTTCTGTCTGAATTTCTAGGAGGTGGTGTTATCATTATTTATGCTATTTACATGTGGTCTTCTGTCCTTATTGTCTGCATTGAGTCACTCTCTTGGAGGCTAGCATCAGCCATGCTGATGGAAGAAAAAGAGTTCTCTCAGATGATGAAAAAAGAGCAGTTTCATTTTGGCAGTGTTAAAATTAACAAGTCACTCCTTGCCCTATTTAACAGCAGATTGTATGTCATTTTTAGATCAGCTGCCTATTTGACCTGATCGAGCTGATCAGGCTTACTATTAAGACAGGTGTAAATAGTTTTGTCTTCAGCATAGATACTGAATAGGGAACTTATAATATTGGGAATGTCATTTATGAAAATTAGAAACAATATAGATCCAAGAATAGAACACTGGGGAACACTTGCATTTATGCAAAAGATCTAGAAGAGTGGCCATTCAAGACAACTTTCATTTTGTGATGTGATGAAAGACTGGGTCACCTGAAAAATTCATCCAGAAATACTATAACCTTTCAACTTGTAAAGAAGTCCAGTATGCCAAATTCTGTCAAATGCCATTGAAATATTCAAAACAACATGAGCTTCACCATTCTTGTCTAAAGCTTGATAGACTGTTTCAAAAATAATTGTTAGCACATCAGTAATTGACCTAGAGAAGCAAAAGCCATATTGCTTATCTGAAAGGAAAATCCTGTGATATGACCCCAATTCAGAGTAAACTGGAGCCTCTAGTACTTTGCCAAAAATAGGTAGAAGGCTGACAGACTTATAATCGGAAAGATTAGATGATTTCGCCAGAGTTCTTAAAGACTGGAACTACAGAAGAGAATTTCCAACAAGCAGGTAAGCAAAAAGCAGCAAGGCATTTATTGTAGAGTTTAGAGAGAACAGGAGACATCTCAGGAATATATATTTTAAGAACTATTTCAGGGATACCATCAAGTTCACATGCTTTGTGAGGATCCAGTATCCGGAGTTATATGTATATCATTCAATAGAGACTCAGTTCTAAGTGGAAAGTCGGGTAAAGGTACTCCAGATGTGTCTAGAATAGAATTTAAAGAGAATTTACAAGTAAAACATTCTACTTTATCAGCAGATGTTAACACCTGAAATCGAGTGAAGAGAGGAAGAATGGAGGACTTAGTCTTATTTAACACACTTCTAGAGAGCCACCATTAGTTGTGAATCAAATTAGAGGCTATATGATGTCTCCTATCAGCAAAGACTTTAGCCTTTTTTGAGAACAGATTTAAAATTATTTTAATCAGACTTTTCAATGGATTTTTCCAATCTTTAATGTGACACTGTAGAGTGAATGGCCATTGTTAAATGTAAAATAAATGACAGAATTGTCCAACAAACAGAATTGACAAACTTTGCAATAACGAATATTTGTTTCTCCCAACTATATATATATATATATATATATATGACATATATATATATAAATGGACAAAGTCTGACGATTATTTTAAGATAAAATATGTTTATACATTCTTTTTATAGATACAAATATTTAAGTAAATGGTCTGTTTATAATAAACAGTATTAAACAATATTTACCGGCCTGAATATTTTCTGTAAAATTTCTCGGACATTCAGGCTGGTAAATGTTGTTTAATACTGTTTATTATAAACAAACCATTTACTTAAATATTTGTATCTATAAAAAGAATGTATAAAATAAAAAATGTTTTATATATATATATATGAAGAAATATAGTCTTAAGGTGTGCTATATTTATGGGATAAAGTGCTCAATATCAGAGATAGAGCATGTGTAAATATAAAAGTGAACATAGAAGTCGACACTTAGAGGCGACAGTCTGTTTCATGCTATATGCAATCGTCTGGCCTGACGATTGCATATAGCATGAAACAGATTGTCGCCTCTAAGTGATGACTTTTATATTCACTTTTATGATGATATATTTATATATATATATATTATATATATATATATATATATATATATATATATGATAGAAGTCCGTTTGTGACCAAGCACCGATTTTTCAATTTTTCATCTTGTTGGTGTCATCGAAGATGTCCTTGCACTGATTCACACTTGAGACCACATGATGTAGATGTTAGTTAATTACTGACCACTGGATGATTTGATTTAAAATGCCTTGTTAGGTCGCTAGAATATCTTCATACCTTGCCACAGATGGTACATGAAAAGTCATCCACAATGTCATATGGAAAAGCATTAGGTAACTTTTGGTGTGATTTCATATGACTGGCCATACTTGCTTTCGACAAGCAGATATGGTCCTTCCTTTTTGACTGGCCAGTATACCACAACTAGTGATCTGTTCAGCTATGTGGGCGCAAACATGATCAGCAAGTTTGTACTAACAGAAAATGAACTTGGACTTGAAAAATGGATCTCAGATCTGGATACTGCTGGAACATTAGAACATCACTTGATCAATCAGACACAGCACATCCTGAGCATAGAAGTGCTCTGCTTCATAGGGAACTGTCTCGTTACAGTTTGGATATTGTCACTTTATCAGAAAAAAGGCTGTCTGGTGATGGCTCTTTACAAAAGCCTGACTCTGATTATACAATTTTCTGCAAAGGTCGTCTGGAAAATGTTCATCATGAAGCAGGAGTTGGCTTTGCCATAAAATCTAAACTACTGTCTCACCTTTCAGAGTTACCATATAGGATCTCTGATCAACTTAAGACACTGCGCTTTCAGCTCCTCCAAGTTCACTTGGTGACAATGATCAGTTTGTATGCTCCAACTCTTGTTAGATCTGAGGCTGAAATTGACAGTTTTTATTCTGATCTCAGAAATATCCTGAGAAAAGTCAACAAGGACACTAAGATTGTGCCCATGGATGATTTTAATGGTAGGGTAGGATGTGACTGTACTGCATGGATCTCCATTGGTCATCGTGTATATATATATATATATATATATATATATAAGATAAAAGGAAAAACTTATTTTAGTTCACACGTTTTGTCCTCTAACCTGAAATTTTTGATACACACACACACACGTTGGTAATTGGCTCTTATAAGAAGCTTATGACCCTTTGACAAGTTTTGTTTTTCATCCTGTGGGGGTGACATGCCACCCTCCTCACCAGCAGAAAACCTAGTGAGAGGAGCTGGTTTAGATGCCATCCATCCATCCATGTGGCAGGTTGTACTGGGTTACAGTAGCAGACCCTGACTAAAGTAATGAATTGGAAAATAAAGAATGACACAATCTGGATAACATGATTATTACTTCTGTTATGACCAACATCAGGTTGGTTCCCAAGGAGGAGATGTGAGTTCAAATCTTGTCAGTAGCTTATTTTTTTTTGTTTCTCATCTGTGCTTCTTGTTTAATTATTGCAGAATATAAAACAACCTCCATATTGTGATAAAAAGCAACAAAAATAAGATGAAAAGAAAAAAAAGTCAAAAAATTAGTTTAGTTTGAAACCCACTGCATATGAACTTGTGACCTTTTGTGCTATAAACTGAACATTTATAGATAGATATTTTTTTCCCTTCATTTTTTTCTATAAATAATTTTTTTTTTTACTCCTTTGTAAACGCATTTGTTTGTGACACACTTCTGTTCGTGTTTGTGACACACTTCTATTCATGTTTGTGACACACTTCTATTTGCACGTCTCTTCACAGAAGCATAAACACAACATTCATATTTTCAGTTTTGTTTTTGGATTCTCAAGATGGAAATAGAAATCCTCCATTGTTTTATTTTTGTTTACAAATTTTAAAAATCACTATGGAAGGCTACAAAAAAATTAGTCGTCTTTTGAAAGCAAGAATTTTATTTATTCTAGAAAAGAATATTGAATGAAATTAAAAAGGAATTTATTCCAATATCAATAAAATCTTTTCTTTCTCATGCATTTCTTGAGAATTCTTCTGAAATCTGAAAGAATTGGTGCCAATTTCTGATAATGGTAAACTAATTGTTTGCCTTACTGTTTTATGACAGCTAATAAAATTTCTTTTTTTATATATAAAGGCACATGCAAATTGATTTTTGTGGATGTACCCATTTCATTGTAAACAGACTTACTATTTGAAATGTTTGTAGAAACTGACAACTTATATCAAGAAAGTTCATATAATTTAGTAAATGTCATTACTCACACCATTTTGATTTAGATAAGCTGGCATGGACTTTCAGTTGTCGGGAAGTCTTTGGGTCTCCAACTACTTTGCTTTCCTCAGATTAAAAATAGTTGCTTGGCATAAAATTGTGTAGAGGAACTTCATTTTTTTTTTTTTTTTTTTTTTTCAGTTGACTGTGACCTGTTGCAATGTCTTGTATTTATGTTTTCTAGGAATACAAGCTCAAAATTTAATTTACCCAAACCAACTTGATTGGAAATTCTCCATGATTTGTTTTCTATAACATCTACAAATCTTTCATCATATTTTAGATTTTATTAGTTTATTCCTGGAGCCTGCCATTTTTAATATATGTTGGCCCTCTTTTTAAGTGGTCTTTTTGATATGCCTCTAAAATATTTATATGCTGGCTATTTTTATTCTTAAATTTACAATATTATCATGAGTCCATAAGAGAAAATATATTAAAAAAATGAACAGGAAATGGTTTGTGGTTATTTCCCTGTTTGAACAACTTTGAACTAATTTCCCATCATGCAACATTACATCAGTCATTGAGGTTAAAGATTCAGAGGAAAAACAACACTTTTCATGGAAAATATTAAGAGATTGTTTCTCCTTCATAAGAGGCTGTTACAAAGATGACTACTTGAATAGCAGATGGTACAAATACTGTATTTAAAATAAAATTCTTGCATGTATATTAAGCTTAGAAGCATATCACATTGAAACCCCAGTTTTCCTTTGGTCACTGAAGTTAAGCAATGTTGAGCCTGGTCAGTACCTAAATGAGTAACCGCTTGGGAATACCAGGTGCTGTAAGCTTGGATGTGCAGGTGGTGTAATGGATAATGGCTCAAAATTGGAAATCAGGGTCAAGTTCCAATTCCATTCAGGTTCATTATGTTCACAATGTATGCACAAATACCATTGGATAAGGTATGAATGGTTGCAGAATATAAAACAATCTCTTCTTCTCCCCCCAGATATGGGTTAATTAGAATTGTATCAGTAAAATCCTTATCTCCAAGTGAGTTACCTTTCTTTTAGGTGTTCTCAGCACTCTGTTTCCATATCACGTTGAAACAGCAATTCTTGTACGCTCACCATGCCTGGTCAGTATCTAGCTGGGTGATCACTTGGGAATGCCAGGTGCTATAGGCTTAGATGTATGAGTAGTGGTTATGGCTCAGATTTGGAAATCAGAGAACCAAGTTCCAATTCCGGTTGGGTTCATTATATTTATTTATCTTCAAATACTGTTAGGAAATATATGAATCTCACTGTTCCCCACCCCCAGGTATGGGTTAATTGGACTTGTATCGGTAAAATCATTGTTATCACCACCCCAAATTCTTACAATCTAAAAATATTTTCTGGCTTTAAATAACCTGCAAAAGGTTGATAAGCCATAAAAAACAAATCACTCAGTCAACCTATGCATATATTGGATTGATAACAAAATTAAACAATCTATGAAGGGTACAAAACATTATTAATGCTATATTAAAATTATATATAAAAAAACAATAAATGATAGCAGGGCAGCCAGGATATTAAAATAAATTCCCTTTAAAGATGTGAATTGAAACAATAACAACAATAAAAAAGAAAATAACAAAAAAGAGACTAACCAGTTTTCGATGCTCACTCTTCAGAGCCAATCAAGGACAAATATGTAAATTGGGTGCACAGTGTTTAAAAAAAAAAAAAAAACAATAAATTAAGAACAGTTAGGCAATCAGCAATTAAATATCTGGGAAGTGCTTTAACAGAGGATGAAAAGAGAGGGACTGAAATCTGAAGGTGCATTGGGATAACAAAAGTTGCTTTCCAAAAGCTAAGCAAAGTATAAAGAAACAGGAAAATTTTGCTCCAAACAAAGAAAAGAGTACTGAATTGTTACATAATATCAGTCCTCATATATGGCAGTGAATGCTAGACAATCTCCTTGTAGATGAAGAAGAGATTTAATGCAACAGAAATGTGCTTCTACAGAAGGATGCTGAGAATACCATAGATCGAATGTGTGAGCAACAATGAAGTTTTAGTCAAAATGGAAACAAAAAGAACACTTAACATCAGAAAGAGATAATAGAAATTCCTAGGGTGCATAATGAGGACAGTGGGCTTGTAAAATTTGATACTCACAAGGCAGATTGAACATAAGGAGAGAGGAAAACAATCCATAACCTATCTAATGAGCTTGTGTAAATGGATGGCAGAACAGGATTTAGGAGAGATAGCAAAATGACAAGAAATTGTGGAGAGCCATGATCACCAACGTCCTGAAGGGACATGGCTCACAGAAGAAGAATCAATGTGCACCCTGCTGATTATGATAAAAGAATTCCCTGGTAAACAGCATAGCACACACCAGATTATTAATAATAAAATATTAATATCCACTACAAAAAGATGGAATGTACTTAAATAGAAGTACCAACAATGCATATTTATAGTAAAATGATCAATAATACATTTTATCGGTAGTTGAAGGCATACAATTGCATTCAAAATATATTTAGTTGCAACCATAAAATTATGTTTAGATTATTTAAAGTTCAGAATTAAATAACTCATAGAAGTTGATATGCCACTAAACAAAACCAACCAACCAATCAATTCTATTTAGCTTTGTTATATTCACTTACGCACAAATACCCTTGAGAAAGGTATGAATCCACCTTTTCTTCCCCCAGCTATGGGTTAATTAGTAAGACTTGTATCACTAAATTACTATTACCTCAAAAACACAAAAAAAACTATTCTTATAATCTAAAAATATTTTCTGGCTTTAAATAACTTGCAATGGGTTGATAAGCCATAGAAAATGAATCATTAAGCTACTGAGTGGGATACCTCAGGCATCAGGTATTGACGTTGATCCTGCCCCTTTTAGAGCAATAAGAGAAATGGATATTTGGAGCTGAGAATGTAATACAAAAAATCAAACCAACAATGAATAACTAAGAAAGATTATGAAAAAGCCTTTCTGGAAGTTACTTACTGAGACACAAATTTATTTAATCTTGAAGGAAGAATTAATTTATAGAGAAATGAGGTAGATTTTCTTTTTATTCTTTGAAAAGTTACATAAAACATTTTTAAGAAGAGAAACCTTTGAAAGTTTTATGATCAGAAGATTTTACAAGCATACAACATTTAGCTTTTTACACCTTGGTTAATTTTTGCATGCTGTTGTAGTATTTTTGGTCTACCATATGTTATTTATACTGAAAATAGCACTGATTTTTGTTTATTTGGTAAGATATCTACCCCCCTCCAACACACACACACACTTACACTTGTAATATCAATGATTTGTTCATATAGTGTTGATTTCCTTAATCTCAAGAAGAAAAACATTCTTTTTCTGACTCTTGTGGGCCTAACTAGGATTGAACACACGATTGTTGCCTAATAAATTTCTGAAGATATTAGACTCCTACTCCTCTGCTTAATGGATGTGTTCTAAGCAGCAGCAGTAGCAGGTTTGTCTCCCTTTCTGCCAAAGTGGATTTGACCTTTAGGCATTATTTAAGTTTATTGAAATTTCTCCTCAGAATGAAATATTGTATTGTTTGGTGAAGTGCTGTTTTGATTTTTTTAAAACCATCTATTTTTTGTAAGCAAATATTTGATTCACTATTTATATTTAGAATAACAATGATTTTTCCAGATACAAGTCCTAGGATTTAACCCATAGCTGGGGGGGAATTGATTTATATCTTTCTCAAGATAATTTGTGCTAAGTGAATTGTGATATCGTAGGTAAGTTTTAAGAACTAAATATGTAAAATCTTTTAATCTCTAACAGGTTGAATATATAGGGTTACATGTGGTGAATATGACAGGTTTACGTACGGTGATGAATATGAAAGGGTTACATATAAGGGAGAATCATTATACATAACATATTATTAGCTTAAGTTTGATTGTAAAATTTACACTTTAATATTTAGTCTGTAGGTGTTACTGTTAACTATGCTGACTCTTGTGATCCTACCTAGGATTGAATTCACGATTATTGGCTAATAAATTTCAGAAGATATTAGCCTCCTACTCCTCAGCTTAATGGATGTGTTCTAAGCAGTAGCAGGCTTGTCTCCCTTCCTGCCAAAGTGGATTTGACTTTTAGGCATTATTTAAGTTTATTGAAATTTCTCCTCAGGGTGAAATATTCTATTGTTTGGTGAAGTGCTGTCACTCGGTTTATTGATCAAGATCCTGTTTTAACATCTCGGATATCTTCTATAAAACGTACATGCTTCCATAGTATCATCTGAGATATCTTCTATAAAACATACATGCTTCCATAGTATCATCTGTGATATCTTCCATAAAACATACATGCTTCCATAGTATCAATCATAGCAAATGTCTCTGCTGCCTGCATACTTTTCATAACTCTTTTGACTCATTGACGAGATTGCCAAGAAATAGGAACATAACTCTCATTATCACCCACAAGAAAGACAATGTATCCCACTTGTGATCCACCATTGTTAATTCCAGCAAATCCTGCATCCTTATATGCTACTAGTTTCATTCTTGCAAGATTGCCTAAGTTAGGTATTAACATTTTCATTTAGAGAGAAAAAATAATCTTGATTCACTTTGAAAAATGTCTTTCAATGTCTTTGCTAAACAAAGATTAACCTTAAAGGAAAATGTTATTTTCTGTATTACGATTATTGTTAAAATTGCCTAGTAAAAAACAATTTTTGTCCAACTATAAGAGAATTTTGGCATATTTTATTCCTGATGAAAAGTTCAATTACTTTCTAAGTTATGAATCCACCTCTTCTCCTTCCAGCTATGGGTTAATTAGTAGAAATGTATCAGTAAATTATTATATTCCCACCTAATTCTTAAAATCTAAAAATATTTTCTGACTTTAAATAACCTTCAAAAGGTTAATAATCCAAAAAACAAGCAACAAAAAATAATTCCTTTCTAATTCTCTATTTTCTGTTTTTTAACTTCTTGTCTATCTGTTGAAATATTTAACTCTGAATATATTTTGTGACTTTTGGTCAGACCACTTAGTTTCAATGATGTATTATAAAGTATGTCAACGTCAAATGAAAGAGGGTATTTCATCCAATATGATAAATTAAAAAAAAACAAAACAATGACCTCATAGTTTTAGACAATTTCTTCCAAGAATTGGTATAAAGATAAGAAACTTCAGCTTTTGCAGGCACAGTGGATTAATGAATAGTGGCTGAGATTGAGGAATCAATGAGCGGAGTTCAAATTCCAGTTAGATCCATTACATTCCCTTACATGCTAATAACCTTGGGAAAGATATAAATCCTCCTCTTCTCCCCCCAGCTATGGATAAATAGGACAGACTGGGTTCTATAGCCTTGGGTGGTAACCGGTCTAGGAGAAGGAAACTCTGAATTTAAAACTGGCATGGAGAGGGTTGGGTTCCATCAGGTTATCTTGCCCAAGACACACCACTTCTACTATGGCTGCAGTACATGCGGTACCTATACAACCCTGATGGGTCATGGCATTTGCGATCACAATCTTTCAAATTCTACCTTTGTAAACTGAACATGAGAGAAATAAGGAACTTTTAGAGAAAACAGAAAGAAGAATGGCACTTAGAATCAGAAAAAGACAATTGAGATTTCTAGGGCACAATGAGAAAAGAAGGCTTGGATAATTTGACACTCACAGTATATTGAAGGCAAGAGAGACGAAAGCAGTGAATAATCTACCTAATGAGCATTGTGTAATTAGTTGGCAGAATAGGGATTAGGAAAGATAGGAAAAAGTCAACAATTACTAAGAGCTACAACAGACAGG